TGGTGAGTCCAAGTGGTCCAAAGAAGCCTCAAACCCATTGTCCATTGTGTCACCAGCCAACAGATACACAGACTCTGCTATCCATATACAGTAGGTCTGGCCCCAGAGCAGCAGCAGGATTTAGCCTACAGCTCTCCCCTCAAGTGAATCATGTAGCTTGCCCTTCTGGAACAGCTAGATCCAAAGATTATATAAAGGAGGGCTGAAAAATAAGGTTCAGAAATAGATACTTGGGAACACAAAAATTAAGATGAAGAGGTGGAAGGTTATATAGATTACCCAGCAGTGAGATCATTTTGGAGGCGTTCATATGCAGTGGAATTTAAGTCTGGCAGAATCCACCCGTATGTATCATCGCAATGTTGCACCATGCATGTGCCAATATAAAAATGGAATTCTGGTATTACAGATTATCTTTGAACTCAGAAGCCTGACAGTACTGGGTTTTGATGTGTTTATGTGCAAGCCTAGGACACAACTGTCTGCATGATAAGATAACTTTGATTAAATGAACTGCTGCAGTTGTTACATTCTTAGAGACTGTTTTTACTTTCACCAAGAATGAGCCAAATTTGACTTATCTAGTGACTGAAAACCCTTTTACACCTATTACACCAGATAAAGGATCCCTTTTAAATTTCCTGTTGGACTTGTTGCTTATATGCCATTAAAAATAAAAAAAATATTTCACAAAAAAAACCAAACTAATTTTGCACTTCTTTTTCCAGACACAACAAAAAAATGAAGCTAAATAATTTAGCTCAAATTGGCCCTTCTTTATAAGAACATTTCTTTAAAGGTTAATGCATTGTGCATTTTGAAAACTAGTTCCCAGAAAGATGTTTTGTAAGCCATGGGGATGGTAGCATATAAACCACATGTCATTTCAGTCTTTTTCTGATATTTTGAGATACTAACTTCATTGCACATTCAAAAACCCACAGCTTCCAGGAGACTTCGTCCTGTCTTACAATTTTTGCCCTGCCACCCTACAGCTGCCAAAGGGGTGCTTCTGGCAGGAAGGGAGAGGACAGCACAAAAGTTTAAGGTTTGGCTCTTGCAATATAGTAACTGCGATACATTGAAATAACTCTACATTGTTTTAACTGTTTGACACTAGTAAATGAAAACACATGCTCTGCTTAGTAAGACATATTACGTAACATAGCGTAGCCAGCAAACTTAGCTAGGAATAAAATTAGTCTATTCCTTTTCTCAAATGTCAAAGTTTGGGAGTCTACTGTAAATACAACATTCACTCTCAAAGGGATGTCAGTTATAATTACCTTAAGTACAAATATTAGCTAGTAGCTATCTACAACATCGGACCAAATATATCCAGTACTTCCAAACAAAGAAACAAATCCTCAGTGCAAAACATCTATTTTTCCCACTTTTCTCCACTGCTGACAACTGTAGATAAAAGGAAGTTTTGGATCTGGTTTTGCCTACAGAATCAGGCTTTTTCACATGGTCCCCTAAGAAATGTCAGGTCCCTATTCTTTTTCCCTGAGAAGACAGCAACCTGGAGAAAGCTGAATTAGGGTTTCCTGAGCCCTTCCTGGACAGCAGAGTAGGATAGGCCTGATCCTGGAAAGTAGAACAAGAATGAACCTGAATTCCTCTGTACCTGATGACTAATTCAAATAGTAGGAAAACCACAGTGGTCAGAAACATGTCAAAAAATGCCCTGAAAACAAACTGGAAAAACATTCAAACTCTTTTTTTAAAATAGCTTCCTAAAACTGAAATTTTATAAGAAGTGATCAACCCCAAATTCTTTTTAGCTCTAATAAAGTAAAACAGAAGATCATAAAGATAGGCAAAAGCTATCAGAAACAGAGATTGTAGTGAAAACCACACTTCCATGTGCGTCTGTGCTGTAACTGGAAAGTCAAATGACAAAATCAAAAACATGAAACGCTGTTTTACCAAGATCTTATTCTTCAGCTGTTCCTTCAACAATTGTACAAGCTCCAACTGGAAAGATGACAATGAAACACGGTTTATAAGGCAGTACAATCTTGTGGACTATGTCCTGTGACTTGTTTATTCTGGATTCTGTGGCTTTGCTTTCTCATCTCTGTCTCAGATGCAGGATGCTCTGCTTACCAGCTCAATTTTTAAAGACAAGGCTTTTTGTCTGTACTTAATTCCTGTCTAGAGAGACAACACTGAGTTCTTTAAGAATGGAACTTTTCTGTTATGCAGAACCATAACAATTAGAGCATGTTTCTGTCCATCAATAAAGCACAGCAGTGTTGAACTTTAGTTATACGTGTTGGATGGCACTGGCATAATGGTATAATGAGAGAGACAAAGATAAGTGGAAGATTCCTAACTAGAAGAAAACTTTAGAGGCTAGACAAAGTTGAACAGATAGCCACTGTAGTACTGGATGAAGTGTCATCTGCAATTTTACCATCATCTCTTACTCTGTGTGTTCTGTGATCCCTCACACAGTATCCAAAGGCATTGACTGCAGAATTTTCTTAGCAGCTGATCCCCCAGATGAAACACAAACATAATTGTAAAAAAACACTGCCTTCACACTAAAACACAATACCCACCAGCCTTCCTTTCCGAATTATATTGTTTTACTTATTATTATTCTCCCTCCAGCAATAACTTAATCTTTGAAGTCAAAATAATGAAAGAAATAATTCATTAATAAAGAACACTCTTTTGAGAACAGCAATAATATTTTCTTTTTCATCCTAGTAAAACACACGTGTGTATTGAAGTTGAAAGTACAAAAATGTATGGGAAAAGGGAGCAATTTGTGTTCCAGCCTCCTGACCAGCACATTTGCACAGTCTCTCAAACAGCTCTGGAAGTCACTGTACTGGCTCTGTTCCTTTGCAGCTGCAGGAGGCAAAATGTTCCTTCCACCTTGTACCAGTGAAAGGAAATCCCAGTCCATGAGACATGGGGTCAGTGTGTTTCACCTCTGGAAGGGAAGATTTGAGCACTAGAATTGCAAAGTGCTGGTAAGAAGGGCAAGATTTACTCTGATAACCTGTTCCCACAAGTACCTGCACCACCAGAAAGCAAGTTTGGCTAGACTGCTCTCCTTCAAGTTATGAACTTGATTCCACTGTTCCCCAGAGAGCAAGAGTGACTCTGAAGGCTCAGTTACTTACTTTGGGACTTAAAGAGCACAGGAATTCATTGGAATTTCAGCTTGCATAGCAAGGCAGAGAAGCCCTCTTAAAAGAATATTACCAGTATATATTTTAATTTTAAAACTCTTTAACATCCACATATACTCTTTTCTTATGAAAAAAATCTGCAGTCCCAAACAAGACAATGTTGTAGAAGACAATGCTTAGAACACTTCCAGATAGCAGCTAAATACTAATACACTTGCTTTTTCAATGCAATTCTTTGTGAATAGTAACTGGAGAGGCAGCTACAAACAAAAGAATTAGACTGCTGTTTCCACACTACAATGGTAGAATCTTAAAAAAGCTATTTCACTGAAAAGAAATGAAGTTTCCACCTGCAGCTTTATGCATTTGGCAAACAGAACTTCACTTCTGCAATGTTATTTTAGGACAGAGAAAAATGCGTGCCAGAGTTAATCTTGCAGTGGATTAGAAGCTTTGTCTGAATTTCACAGTTAGCATAAACTTAGAGCCACTATTCTACAGCAGTGAGCAGAAAGTCCATTTAAAAAAGACAAGCACTAGAAAAGTTCCTTTCCTCAGTGTAGGCAATACATACAAGATTCCTCTCTGGTCAACATAATCCTCTCTTAAGTCCTTTTTTTGATGAAACTGAAGTCTTAGAGTTAGCTTGACTTGAACTGCACTTCTGTTACTCACAGACTACACACCGTTCCACTATTACCAGTATGCAGAAAACTCCACATTGGCTCCAGAAGACAAGATTAAAAGAAAGATACTTGCAAAAGAATGTCACCATAGGGAAGAAAGAAAAATAATGAAATTCTGGAAAAAAAAAAAAAAGAAAAAGCCTTTTAAGGAGGGGTGGGGGTGAAAAATCACCTCAACTCCCCGAAATACCTTTAGATTTCCCTTCTATGAAAGAGAATCTTCTAGGAAGCTCTCAAAGTGCTTATTTCTTAATAAACATTCCCATAACTAAGTCACAGGTTCCTCTAAATGTCAGTGGCTGCAGGAGAATGCAGATGTGAAATGCATTACAAAGCACATCGGACTCAGGCAAGCACTTCCACAAAGTGAGAGCAATATGTGCAGTACAGAAACAGTTGTGAAATTGCTGCTTTAATGCCAAGGCACTACGAAGTGTTTTACCATCCAGATAGAGAAATATTCTTTTAATTTTATGCTATGACTGTTCTTCCTGCAGTAAGCAATAAAATACTATTAAAATGCCAATGTTACGTGTGTCATATTACCAAGGAGAAGAAGAGATCACTGCCAGCTTTGCAAATCTACTGTACTTCCAGACTCTGGGAGAAAGGAATAGTTAAACAAATACTCACACAGGTTCGAAGGGTTTTTTCTTCTTGTATGAATTTTAATCAATCATATTTCTCTCCCTCCAAATGCATGCAACCTGACCTACACTAGTCAATTCCTACTGAATTGTTACGGAGAGCTATAAAGGGAAAGTATACAAGTTCTTTAAAAGACGGGACTGAATTTTTCCACCAGTGACACAGGTTGCTTCCAAGTCACATTATCTTTAAGATATTAAACCACAGACCTGAACAATTCTGCCCAACTCACTATAAAATCATTAAATTCAATAACTTTGTGTCATTTTCTCACTAGAGTCACAAATATTTTTCATACCATGAAAACTTTTGAGCTTATTTTATTAAAGAGCTTTAAGGTTGCTGTTATACCTGGACTTTGCCCTTTTTCCTGACCTTCTTTCATCTTGTCTATTACCTTCAATCATTCTTAACACGCTGAAAGCAAATTTCCATAACAAAACACAGGCATTAAAAACCCCAAATCCCCACAACAGAAAAACAAACCCCCAGAAAGTTGTTCATAGCTACTTGCCTCTAGGCAATTTCTGAGTATTTCCCAGGTTTAGTGCAATATATCCACAGAAAAGAAGACAGACAAATCTTGACATCATGGTCACAAACCCAACCTCGCACTGGGAATGGCTCTGACAGGTATCACACAGAAGTACCGCAGCTGCATTTAAGTGAACCGTTCTCTCTGTGACAAGAGGCAGCAACACTTTGACACAAGCTTAGTTTACACAGTGGGAGGAGACAGGATGACATCATTCACTCCCACTGCAAAACGAGAATTAGCATAAAAAAATATTATCAGGCTCCCCCTGCAATAGTCTTCTGGGGCTTGTTACAAGATCTTTTCCACCATTAAGGCTAAGATATTACCATTTTATTACTTACATTTCATGAAAATAAAATCATGAATATCAAACTTTCTATTAATGGAAAACTGATCTGAGAGACATTTTTACTGTTTTATCCAAGAGAGCTGGACTTAAACTGCAAAAACAGCACTTGCAGTCCTCAGAGAACTGTTTGCTTTATTGACCTCAGTATTTTTGCAATCTCAACATTTTTCTTAAGGTTAATTCAGGCTACTTGTGGCTTTCATCCAGGCAAAATAAATACTAGTTTAATTTGACATGACATTATAAACAGGCATTGTAAATATTTATTCAGCAAAAGAACTGGACTTGAAAAATTTAAATGTCATTTTTTCACTTGTAGCAAGTGTTGGCAATTTAAAAATACTTTATAATTTTCCCTTTCATAAGTGTCTGGTGAGTTAATGGGTTGAAAGTAATAAAGCAACACTTCTCATTCCAGGGTGATCTTCTCACCAGTTACATAACTTTAGGTAGAAAAGAAGTTCCATTTTTCCATTAAAAGCTGTTGTACTACATGTTTACAATCAGCCAAGCAAGCATAACATTTGGTCCCACTCAAGTGAGAAGATGGAAAAGAAAGGGTAAAGCAGAAGAAAAAGAAGCAGTAAGGAAGAATTTAGTCTCAGTATCTGGAAAAGTTTCCAAAGAGATTAAATCTATTCAGCTAAGTAGTGACATCTCTCTCCCCCTAAAAATAAAAACCCCAAAACCATACAAGGGAAAACACAACAAAGAAACCCCAAAACAGACACCAAGGGGAAAAGAAAAAAAGAAAATCTAACCAAAACCAAACCCAAAAGAATCATCAACAACCAAACCTAACCATAACTCTTGCTTACAATATGTGGAGTTCTTTGCTATGCTTTGTCTGCTCCCACTCCCCACTTGACTGGGCCTGATGTTGTTCTGCTTCCATAGTGTTTATAAGCAGGGAAAATCACTCGTACCTGGGTTAGAAACAAGTAGTTTAAAATTAAAAGGTAGTATCTTGAAGCATACAGGAGCATTTCTTAAAGATCAGATTAACTGCATATTTAAAAAGACCCTGTGTTTGCTACAATTCAGGAAGAACTTCACAACAGAAACCACTGGTCATTGTCTTAGAGACAAACCTGAGGAATTTCAACCTCTTCTAATCAATATGGGCAGCACACAGCTATAACAAAAACAGCTGGACTATGGCAATGTGTTCCAGACTCATCATACTATCTGAATTTGGACATAAGGAAACGTTTGTATTATTCATTAACTCAAATCTGGGAAGAGCAACTTGAAAGTTAATATTTGAGGCAGACCCCAAAAAATCCCCGAACACTATCACCTGAAGGATGTTTGGGAGGATTCAGACCTTGAATATGAACACTCTGAACAGGTAAATGAGATAGGTACAATGTGAATGAGATGAAAAGATGTTTGAAAGGCTGTACAGTTAGACAGGGGTCTTACAAAAGACTGTCAAATAGCAGAAAGGGGCATAAAGAGAGCAAACATGCAATTCTTATTGGCTTTTAAGTTAAAGTACTGTTTTCAAAAATGGTCCAGAAACCATATTCTATTTTTTACCTGCAAAATAAAAAAATATGAAATCAATCATTTGATGTAACTGTCTCTTGGGACAACTAACGGGAAAAATTGCTCCATGGTCACACAGAGCCGTCTTTGTATTAGTGTAAACTGGACTCTCCTATTTGTCTTAAGGCAAATTCACTTTCCTTCAAAAGATTACACAACACCTTCCAAAAAAAGGCACAAAGGCCAACTTCTACTCAGAAGAATCTCAGTGGAACAAACACAACAATTATTTGCCTACCTCACAACGTCTCTCACAGATAAATATAATCCTATCCCTGCTTTCACAACTACTTGCTTCTCTGCTGCACTTACATCTTACTTCTTCCTCCTGGTGCATTATCCAACCATGTCTTCTCTGCTTAGGTGCTCCAGATAGACAATTAACTTTCCCCTTGAGATCCTGGCAGACCATGCAGATCCCTTTCCCTCTGATCCCTGTAGAACACAGATCTTCCCAGCCCAGAGTTCAAAATCCCATGTCAAGATGCATCTTGTTCTGTCTTATTGAGGATATGCTTCATCAGGGACAATTTTGGTATAAGCAGATGTAAGTGTAACTTTCCATTAAATACATGCCAAGAATACAAAAATCAGTTACATAATATTATTTTATAATTTTCTAATATGTTCCCCTCATCTACACCATCCTGAGATGATAAATAACTAATCACTGATTTTGTCTACTTCTTTTCTTGCAGGACTAACCTTTCCTAGGAAACCTCTGATATATGAAAAATAAAAAAATAATTTTAAAAAAAAATCAGCTTCTGCTTTCCTTTTTCCTAAATTCTCTTGTCATTTCCATGGATGTCGACTACTGCAGTGCAAAACTAGACATGGGAACGTAAGGGAGTTCTTGGTTCCTGGAACTTCAAACACTATCCCACACTGCTGGATGCTTCCATAATGCTGTTCAATTATGCAATTTCTCCTCTTGTTGGAGCCCTGCTTCACAATCTCCATTGAAACAGAGAGAGGATCTGATTTCCATTCACAAAGTTACCAAACCCAGCACATTCCTCAGGTTTCTCTCATCCACACAAACCTGGAAGTACATTACCTGTCCTTCGACTCTTCAGAAGGAAAATATGAAACAAAGAAGATTCAGTTAATGACAGTTTTGTGTTACACCTTTAACATAAAAAAGGCAAGAATACTGAGCTTAATGCAGTAATGAAAAGTCTCAAACTGATCAAACAGGAAAAGACAAAACCTCTGATCCTTTAGTGACTCCTCCTTTTCAGCACCAAATTAATATTTAAGTAACAAAGTCAAGTACTCAAAAGTTTATTACCTCAACTTCAACTGATTCTCTGCAGGTTAGATCTCAAAAATGGAGATTCCAACCAGATAGTATCACAGCACATCTGGGGCAAAGCAGAGCTTTTCTAGTCCTATTGTAATAGTTCCCAGACCGGTAAGTACAACAAAAACAAAAGTATGGAAGGAAAAAGAAAAAGCTGGGGGGATGGGAGGAAGAAGAGCAGGAGACAAGATTTTACATTTTGTTTCCAGATATGAACATGCTTTTGTTTTGATTTGGGCTCAGTCCCAATTCACCTATCATTCCTGATTATTTTGACAAGCAAAAGCCAAGTGCCTCAACTCCTTGCTGTTCTAATTTGAAGCAGAAAGAGTGTGCAAAGAATAACCTTACAAAATAGAATCCTGTCTTCACTTTGAAAAGCACAATAATGCCATTTGGAACTCTCCAAGAGCAAGGACTTACAGTACACTTGGTCTGTCTTTTCTCAGAACATTTCTGGTTGATACTGTACATTTCAGCAGTGCTTGTCAATTACTTGTGAAGCCTCTTTTTCATGAAATACGCTATATAAATGTTAATTATAATTTTCATTCTCTTATGGGTGACTCAATTATTGGACTCCTTTTCTTGCAAATATCATGGGATCTCCTTTAAAGGCCTTCAGGAAAAAAGAGGTGCCAAATAACATTCTTTCAGATGTGCTGTTCAGAGAAGAAAAAGAAGAAAAAAGAAGAAAAAAAGAAAATCTTAACTCTGCTTTCTAGAAGTTTCTAATTACTTCTTTTCCAATACTTTATTCTCTAAATTTATTCTATTTATTGCTAATAAGCGAATATTTGAGTTCTCATGCTATCAATAATACTGGATTCACATGTTAGTCTATTAGTCAAAGGTAAGACTCATTCATTTCATAGATAAAGGTGACAAAGATAGGATATTCTAGTGTCCTTATCCCAAACTGATTTCCAGATTTCCAAATTAATGGGATCTGAGACAAAGTGCAAAGAAGAAATTCAGTGAAAAGGAGTGGACAAAATAGCTGTTTCTTGTAACATGTTTTACATAGTTCAAACTCTTTCAGCACTCACTCATTTGACAATTGTTATTTCAGACAGTGACTCATCTTTTCTAACAGGCAAAATTCTTACAACAATTCTTACCAAAATTCTGTACAACATGGAGTGAAATAAAAAACCCCATTTCTTTAATTTCTCTGTTAAGTAATGACTTATCTTATTGTTGCCCTTTGTAATGAAAATAAGCTTGTAGACTCAGTTCTGCAGTTTTAATAACAATATCATGACCTGCCCCATGAAGAACCAGCAAAATTCCAGGTTCTCAATGGTACCACTCCTCCTTGTTATCAAGACTTTGGTATTATTTTATTTAGGGTTTATTTTGCCTTTTATTTTTTTTAACAGTCAGGTTTTGACTGACTCCAAGACAGGACTCTGCAGAGTGTCACCAGGCTCCTGGTACAATGCCTGACCACCCACTTGGGGGAAGAACATTTTTCCCTTGTAGCCAATCTGAACCTCCTTTGTTTTAGCTCATGCCTGTTTTCTCTCATGCTCGCACTACGCAGCAATGTGAGGAGCCTGGCTCCATGCTCTTGGCCACCTCTTGGGAAGCACTGTAAGGGCTGCTGTTACATTCCCTTGTCCTGACTGAGCTAGTCCCATTCCCTCAGCCTGTCTTCACAAGGCAAGTGCTCCAGACCCTGACCATCTTGGTTGCCTTTCTCTAGACTTGCTGCAGTTTATCATTGTCTGTCCTGAATTTGGGGGTGGGGTGAGAGACCAACACTGGATGCTACCTAGGTATGCAATTCATCGAGTGGTGAGTAGTGAGGGGAAATGACTTCCCTCAATCTCCTGGCCACGCTGCTGTTCAGACAGCCCAGGACACTGCTGACCTGCCTTGCTGCCAGGACCCACTGCTGGCTCCTGTGCAGCCTTCCATGGTTCCCCACTGCTTTTCATCAGGGCTGTTCCCAACCCATCAGTCCCCAGCCTGCATCACTGCAGGGGTTACTCCCATGCAGACACAGGACATTGCAGTTGTGGGACATACAGGATGTTGCAGTTGTACTTGTTGAATTTCATGATGTCCCTGTCAACCCATTCCTCCAGCTTGGTGGGGTCCCTCTGAATGGCAGCCCTGCCCTAAAGAGTATCAAGTGATCACCCAAAACCGTGTCACCTGAAAACCTGACAAGAGTTCATTCTGTCACTCCAGGTTACTGACAAAGATGTTAAATCCTAAATAAGTCCTAAGATAACCATCTATGGTGCCTCACTTGTGACCCTCATCTATGCAGTGCATGATCCTACTGCCCTCTGATCCCAAGCATCCAACCACTTACTTGGCCAGATAATCACAGTCTCTGTGAACTGCTTGGGTAGATGTGCACTGCATTAAACACCTGATGTGTGCTACAATTTATATTTTAAAACACTGTCAAGAAACCAGCTTCTTTAAGCAAACACTGAACATATCAAATGGGTTCCTTACCTGAAGGCTTCCCCTTCACTGTTACATCTTAACAGAAATAAATCTGCCCAATCTCAGCAAGCCTCTAGAGCAAAAACCTAGTGCCTTTGAAGCACTATGTAATTACTAAGTGCTTCTGTCTGTGAAGAAAACCACCTTATTCTCCTCTTCCATCAACACATTTGTGCCACTTGAGATAATTAACACAATTACAGCCTCTCTATTATTGGATTACCCCAGAACATTCCGTCCAAACATCTTCTGTCTCTGCCTTTCCTGCATCATATCTCTAAATACTTATCACTGTCTTCCTGAACACGATCTGATTAACTTGAAATGCAAGCAGAAACAAAGAGCAAAACACAAAAAGGAGGGTGACAGTAATGAGTCTTTAACAGAGTAATTGCATGAATCAAAAATATCTTAGCATATATTGATTTTCCTGTGATTAGAATGAATTTTGGAAAGCTTCAATTATCCTCAATTATAATTTAATTATTCTATACATGCTTATAATATGAGCAAAGAGTTTAAGCAGCAGTCCTGTCCCAGATTGCTTTGGAAGGTGGGCTTCATAATCCATGCTGTATCAAGTCTTCAATACTCCATTATAATCTTCCTTTGCAGAAGTCAGCACCTCCTGGTCTCTTTCAGTCTCATTCCACAAAATGTTCTGATTTGTGAAGATAATGTAAGATCACAGTCCAGATTAGTGAACTCAGATGTGAAGTCTGGAGTCTATTACTGTACACTAGGATAGGATACAAAATCTGTTTATACATTTACAGCGTGAATGTTGATGCCATTAGCAATTCTATTTTGAAGAAGAAGAGGGAGATCTGTCTGCATCACAGATCTGCAGAAGCACTCACCTCTGAAGGTAAGAATGAAGTGCTGGTGATTGGCTTCTCTGATGTTTGCCAAGTTATAGTGGGTTTGTACAGGAATAAATACCACACGCCACATGTCGTATCACGTATCTGATACAGATTCGGTTTATTTTGGATTCTTGCCACAGGACAAACTACCATGTCCCTTATGCTGCCGCTTCCTCATTGCTCAGCCACATTCTAATCAAGTACTTCTGCCTTCCACCCCAAAGAGATATAATAACGCTTCCCGACTTCTCAATACATCCACCATTTCTGTGCCCTGGGCCTTTACCTCTGGCTCGCTCCTCAGTTGGCTTTTCCAGCCTTCCAGTTCCCGGGGGAACCCGCCCCGAGCGCTCCGGGCGCTGCCGCCGCCGCCAGGGAGCGGCGCCGGGACAGCGGGACAAGGGGACAGCGGGACAGGGGGACAGCGGGACGGGGAAGG